TATTTCATTTTTTCTGGGAGAGGGCTGGGTGATAACTTCCTACAGTTGGATTGTGTATAAAACCTTGATGGTCATTTCACCTCTAAGCTCCCTCTGGAGCCATAATGGGTCCATCAGTCACCTGGAATACGGGGTCTCCAACCTTGGCAACTTTAAGCCTGGTGGACTTCAACTCCCAGAATTCCCCAGAATTTGTGAACAGTTCCTCCTTTTTTGTATTCTGCATAAAGTTGCTGAATGAAAAATTAGGAGTGTGATATGTACGTATGTGTATGTACTGTTGGAAGAAATGCCCATCTGGGTTCAGTTCCAAGTGGGGAGCAAGACACTGGAAACATGGCGACTGATTGGAAAGACGGTTTATTGGTGAACAAGATCACGTGGGTTTGAAGTCCTTGGTAGCTGACCACATGGAGTGGAGAGTGAGTGTTATTTATACTCTCTCTTGGGCTTTAAACTTGAGCTTCCTGTTCCTGTGGCAAGAGCATGTATTCTATTGGCTGTCAGACTCCCAAGGGGCTATGCAGGGGTCACAGCTGAGGTTGTCTGAATTAAGGTTGGTTGAACCTTGGCCTGATGTAATGAAGGGGTTCGGTTGTGCCATGTGGTGAGCTCTGCCGATAGATAATCCTATTATGTCCTGGAGGGTCATGTCTTAATCCCATCACTCTGGAGCTGAGGCCTTTTGCTTTGTAGATAGGTTTTGTTGGCCCAGTCCCAGGGGTGAAATTCAGCAGGTTCTGACAGGTTCTGGAGGACTGGTACTGGAAATTTTGAGTAGCTTGGAGAACCGGCAAATACCACTTCTGGCTAGCCCCAGAGTGGATAGGAATAGAGATTTTGCAATAACCTTCCCCCAGGAGTGGGAAGAGAATGGGGATTTTGCAGTATCCTTCCCCTGCCACGCCCACCAAGCCATGCCCACAGATCCGGTAGTAAAAAATTTTGAATTTCACCACTGCCCAGTCCTCAATGGGCACCAAATATCTGCTGGGATCAGGAAGCTGCAGGGAGCTGAGTTTCTGTCTCCCTTAAGATTTCTATTTCTCTTTTAGGGGAAATATAATATTCTGCCTTTTTAATATTTCCTAAAACATTGCATTCTTCTAGGAGGGGTGGCTGCTAACTTTCTTCAGTAGCATATGTAAATCTTTATGAAGGTTTTCCCCTACCAATATACAGGTGAAACTCAAATAATTAGAATATCATGCAAAAGTTCATTTATTTCAATAATGCAACTTAAAAGGTGAAACTAATATATGCGATAGACTCATTGCATGCTAAGCAAGATAGTTCAAGCCGTGATTTCACCTGTACTATAATGTTTTTATGTTATGTGTAGCTATGCAATTGTAATTTTCTTTAATTTCTACTCATCAAGACCTCTGATATTATTTATCCTCCTTGCCAGCATCAGCCCCCTCTTTGTGGGTTCCTATCAGTTCAGCCCGGTTCGGCTGAACCGCTAGTGGTATGGCAGGCCTGCCACTACCACCCCGAACTGGTTCCCTGGTTCTTGCCACCGCCATCTTGTTTTTGAGTTCTGCGCATGCGCAGAACAATTTTAATTGAACTGTGCATCCAGTGTGCACAAGCAAACTGGCAGTAAAGCCGGCCGGAACCAGNGGGGGGGGGGAGATCCACGGATGCCCCCTCTGCCATTGACCAAAGCTTACTTAAATTTCCATAGGGAGACACCCACCCACCCCAGATCTAAAAGGGGGGCCCACTTCGAGGAGCCCCGCCTTCCCCGACAAAGGGAATCGCGCGCATGCGCAGAGAGACCCCTCTTCCTTTTCGCCCCCCTCCCCAATCACAAATTGACAGCGATTCGCAGCTTGACAGCCTCCTCCCCCGTTTATTACTGACAGAGGGCGGGGGTGTTTTCCATCGACGTTGAGAATAACCGACCTTTTATTTAATTATTCAAATAAAATAATAATTCTTTTGTCTCTCCAAAGACAAAAGGGGTTTTAATTTTCCCCTCAATTCAGGGTCTGCTTTACCTCTCCGCGGCGGCGGGTCTCCCCTCTCGGAGGTCGGAAGGGCCGGAGGAGGCAGACCGGGGGCTGAAGCGAAGGGAGGCGAGCGCTTCACTCTGCCGCTGCCGCAGCAACCCGCACCAGAGCCGCCGCAGCAGCAGCAGCGCCTCGTCGCTACCGACCCAGCGGCCCCGCATTCAGCCCCCGACGTCCCTTCGCCCTCCAGTCCCAGGTCTTCCCCCGATGGGAGTCAGCGGAGGAGCTGCGCCATGGTTCTCTTCCCTTCAGCTCCGGACGCCGTTCTGGGAGAGAACCAGTCAGAGGCGCCTCAGAGCGGCTTCAAAATGGAGTCTGCCCCCCCCTCAGGTCCGCCCCTTTCCATCACGTGACCCGCCGCTTTTGTTTTGCTCGCCTTTCCTCCATTTGTTTTTTAAAGCGGAGGGATCTACATCCCAGTGATTGGACTCTCCTTCCTTCCTCCCCCCCCCTCAAAAAAAGGGAGGGAAATAAAATGTTTAAAAAAAGAAAGAAAGGGGGGGTCTCCTTTTCGCCTTCGTTTCTGCGGTGGAATATTTATTAGCATTTTTCGTGAATGACCCCGGAAGGACGGCTGTGGCGGAGGTCAGGCGGATTCCTTTCCCAGCTTCTCCTGAGGCAAGAGAAGCGGAAGGACACAGTACTTTAGTCGAATCACTTCTTTTAAAGGGACAAGAGGAACCCAAAACTACTTCGGTTTGAAAAGTCCGCCCAAATGCCCGCTCTCGGATTGGCCGGCGGTGGGTGAGCGCTGATTGGATAGAAAGCGGCCCTACCTTTCCAGACACTCCTGGTTTCTGTTGTTTTGTTATTCAAAGCAGTGGAATGCTTATTGGCTGACGGTGACGCCAAACCTCTGTTCTGAGCCAATGAGATTTGTCTCTTTAGTTTTCCCTAACACCCCCCCCTTCTGTTATTTTTACAGCTGCGTCGAAGGGGGCGGAGCTTCACCGTCGGTTGCTCAACTGTCATTTTTGCGAGGGACGCAAAGGCGCCGTTGTTTTTTGAGGTTTTTTTTTGGCTCCTCCTCGTTTGAATTTTATCTTCTTTATTAGCCTTTTCATAAAGGCGCTAGCATTTGATCATGGCATCCACATCTCCTTTGGAAGATTGGGAAACCAAGTCTTCCTTTTAAACAAAGGCTTTTTTTAAAACATAGGTAGAGTTAATCTTTTAAACTAAATACAGGTAGCCCTCGACTTACAAGAATTCATTTAGTGACGGCTCATAGTTAGAAGGGCGCTGAAAAAAGGGACTTATGCTTTTCACAACTGTGGTCAAAATTGGGACCCTTGGCAACTGCTTCATACTTAATGACCGTTGCAATCCAGTTGCTTCCTGGAAAAAAAAATCACCTTTGGGAATTTCCAGTCATCTCTATAATCCTATGATTAAATTTCAGATGCTTGGCAAATGACTTGCATTTATGACGGTTGCAGTGTCCGATTCCCTTTTGCAACCTGACAAACAAAGAATGGGGAAAGCCAGATTTCACTTAACCATCAGATTAGTAACTTATCAACTGCAAGGATTCACTTAAGTGTGGCAAGAAAGATCATAAAAGGAGGCAAAAACATAAATGTCTCACTTAACAACAAAAATATGGGGCTCAATGGTGGTCATAAGTTGAGGACTACCTGTATACCTGTGTGACTACCCATCAATATATTCTGGAAGTCTTGAGTATGCTTGAAGATACAAACTCAACTGGGAAAAGGGCTGACATAATCCATATGTTTTATATTTGGTGGAATCTACATTGATTATGGACACAATGGCTCAGTGGCTAAGACGCTGAGCTCATCGATCGAAAGGTCGGCAGTTCAAATCCCTAGCGCCGTGGAACGGAGTGAGCTCCCGTTACTTGTCCCAGCTTCTGCCAACCTAGNTTCTGTAGGTGTGGCCTGCTTTCCAGGTTCACTGGTGGAACCTCTTCTAACCGGTTCGGTAGATTTGACGAACCGGTTCTACCCAACCGGTGCGAACTGGCAGGAACCCACCTCTGGTTTAGGAGCTCTACATTGGCTTGCCCACTGGTAAATAACTGATTTTTTAAAAAACTGAATTTATCCACCATGGTAGTCAGATGGTCAATGAAGATGTCCACCCCATGGCAGAGTGTTTTATGTGCTCCTCAAATTCCAAGAGGACCCTCAAAGCCTCAGGAAAATACAATTATGTTTGTAGCATGTTGGCATACTGGGGCATGAAATTATTTTTGCACGCAATACAGTTGTTTCCAAAGTTAAAGTTTCCTTTGATTTGCAAGATATTTCTACCAAAACGACTGAATCAACCCTTCTACCAGTAGGTATATTGTGATGGATTAATTAATAAGTTCTTTAAATTACTCTAAATCCCCAAGCTGCTTTTGTGTCTCTATAATCATGGTTTATATCTGTTGATAGTTTGGGTGTTATGTAAGAAAAAAAAACTTGCTTTGGGGAGATTTTTTAAAAATAATAATCAATGAAATAGCTGCTCCCATTTTTAAGAAGCAACAAAGCAAGGATTCGAGCTAGCTCAAAAGATTCACAGTAAACCTTATGTTATTTTGTAAAAATAACATTGTTTCGTGCCTAAAACATGTCATGCCTCCAACAAATCTGAACAAGTTGTTGTTGCTAAACATTTTCCGTGGAGCGTAAGTTTTCTTCTTTAGAATTTTCAAAGGAGGACTTTCAGGCAGCGCCCTGCTCCAGAAATTGCCATTCTCAGAAGTTGCTAACCATTTTCCTGTTGCAACTAGCTAACTCATTAAAACGAATAGCAAATTAAGATAGCTAAAATCATTTCAATAGCAGTGGCCAGAGTGTGCCAGAGACAAACCGCTAATAAACCATGCTGGTAATTCAATCCCTAATGTTAATTCTGCCCCCCAGAAGCACATTGAACATTTAGAGCACATATTGCAGCTGTAAATGCAAACCTATATTGAAGTATTTTGTTTTTAATTTATGTATTATTTACTATGAAATTTATTTTTAGAATGGAATGGAGTGGAATGAAGTGGAGCGGAATGGAACGGAACAGAACAGAACAGAACAGAATATTCTTTATTGGCCAAGTGTGAGGTGGTATTCAGCAGGTTCTGGCCAGTTCTGGAAAACCGGTAGCGGAAATTTTGAGTAGATTGGTGAACCGGTAAATACCGCCTCTGACTAACCCCGCCCCCATCTATTCTCTGCCTCCCGAGTCTCAGCTGATCAGGAGGGAATGGGGATTTTGCAATATCCTTCCCCTGCCACGCCCACCAAGTCATGCCCACGCATGCGCGGCGGAGACCCGAAGACCAGCTGGCTGGCGGGAGGCACGCACGAATGCGTGGTAGAGTTGAACTGGGGCAACGGTGTGCGTGCCCACAGGGAGGGCGCTTGGTGCCCCATCTGGCATGTGTGCCATAGGTTTTCCATCACGGCTCCCGGCCATCCCTATTCTTAACTTCTAACTGAGGTATACAAGATGCCCCAGTCTTTGCTACTTTTATTAGCTTTCTAACCCAGTGTTTTTCAACCTTTTTTGTGCAAAGGCACACTTTTTTCATGAAAAAAATCACGAGGCACACCACCATTAGAAAATGTTAA